TTTTTTGCCTCCTGCCTTGTGCATCCTTTCGCAGGAGCATTGTAAATGACTCCGGTGCCATGTCTTCATCATCGTCAGGCTTTCAGCTTATTACTTTTGTGCGGCGACACCCGGGCATACCCATTTTGCATAGGGGCTTCTCCTTATGGGGCATTTCCCTCCCTGAATCTGAATGTGTGCTCGTTTCCAGGTACCAGGTAGCTGGAAATTAATTATCGCATATCGCTGGTGGCGCACGTATCCTAAATCAAAGCGTTTAACGTCGCTAATCCCCTTAATGTACGACCCCGCCGAAGAAGCACTCCAATTTTAGCCAAGCAACACAAAAGGGTGAACTAAAGTACACTGCAACAAAATGTGTAGCTTAAGCTGGGTTATACATTTTACAAAAATATACCCCTATTTGGTTTGAGCACATTATAATTACTTAATGGTTTCCAAAAATGGAAATGGAAAAACAGAATTTTGTCCAACCCATAGAAAATCATTTAATACCTTTCAATATATTACTTTTTCACAGTGTGCTAAGTTTCCCCCAACGTATTTAGAAAATTAAAATGAAAATCCCCGTCCAGGCAAAACCGCAGCACAAAAAAAGCAAAAAATATATATATTTAAGTTTCAAGAGGGCCAACGCAACGACAGTTTAAAAATCTGCAAGGGGTCGGGGTCGGAGTTTAGTTGAGGACCAAAAAGGACGACAGCATGGCCAGGTCAGTTCCCTGTGATTGGCAGGAGTCATCAGGCAAGTTAATTGCCCACGATTTAGCGAAGCGGCGAAAGGAATCTGGAGGGACTTACCCAAATGGCAAGTGTCGTGAGTGGGAGTCGTGACGCGCGGTGTTCCTGACGCGAAATTAATGGCGGTTCCACCTGACCAAGCCAGAGCCATCAAAATCCCAATACCAGCCACTAAAATTGTTTGCTTTTAACGACTGATTTGGCGGAGGGAAAACATGAGCAAATCGCTCGTCATTTCGGGATAAATACATATTTTGATTTTTAATTAAATTTGTAAAAGAGGGTGCACAACTTTTGAATAGACTTCAATTTAAAAATTGTTCCGATATAAATTTCTAACTTAATGCAAATTGCACGCTAGTAATGTAGCTCTTATAATAATGAAAGCTTTTGAAACTTACAAGCAGGTAGGACACTTAAAGGAGATTTTCTCCAAAGCTGACTTAAATCGTTTCCATTTTACAAGCAAAAAGAACCCTAATAAATTTGCTTACATTTGGTTATCTTTTCAATTTAAAGCCAGGTTTCCATTTCTCGTTTTTGGCCACATATTCAACTCGGTTCTACGTCGATTGTTGTCGTCCTGCACTTAATCGCAAGAAGTAGAGCCCATCAATCGAATTGAAGTCCACCTACATCATCTCCTGTCCCCCAAGCCTCAGCTGCCAGAGCCACATTGATGTAGGTGGCTTCGAAGCCGAGAGCCGAAAGTCGGGGGTTCTGGTCAGGACAGGAGCTGACCCTCGTTCGCCGCCGCTAAATCTCGGTCATTTGTGACGCTATTACAGGGTGGACATCGTTGGTTGCGCTCCCAAACGAGCTCTGTCCTGCCTTCTTCACTGGAAAAAACATATTTCTGGTCACAATTAAAGACTAAGGAGTCTCGAATTTTTTGTTACAAAAAATCCGATAAATATTTTGTTTTAACTTAAAAGTCTAGTATACTAATTTACTTTTTTATCAAAACTAAATCCCTTTATAATTTAAAAATGTATATTTACGTTGACCATTTTTTAGTAAAATTCAAAATATTTTAATTTTTAAATTTCTTTGAATTCATTTAAAAGCATTATTAAACTTTTCCTTCTAACACTAAATATATTATTCTTATATTTAGCTTAATAAACTAATTAACGGGATATTTAACAGTAAAGGTTAATTTATAAAAACTTTAGTGACAGCTTTAATTATTTTGAAATAAAGAGCTAGAGTACTTGATTGGTTTTCTCCGTGTTGGCCTATGACTATTTGTATATCGTTGCGAACTGGCCATTATCGTCTATGGGTGCGTTATTAACTTTTGCTGCCTGTCAACACTGAAAATTATATGCCAGGCAACCACACACGCTGCCAGCACCACCCAGTGGGTGGCTAGTCCCTGAACGACCACCCTTGAAAGAACCATCCCATTCCGAGTCCCATACTCATTCTCAATCTCGGTTCCCTTGCAATTTTTTTATGCTTTGGCTTTTCTCGCATTCATTACGTGAGCTGTGTGGTTGATGGCGGCATTGAATGGCCAAGGGGCGTGGCCCCGCCCCCTGTGCCATTAGCCCAGCATGAGCTGCCTTCCTTTTGGTTTCCCCGACTCCGGACTCCGAAGAGCATTTCATTTAGCCCTCGTTGTTTTTTGTTGCTGTGGTTTCGGGGCCAAATAAATCAAGAATTTTTTACAAATTTGTTGTCTTCATGTTGACATTTCCGTCGTCTTTATCGACTTGTGGACGGTCAAAAGGCCCTGTTGTAGCACGATTTCCATGCAAAATACATAAACCGTGTCTGGGGATGTTGTATATACGGGCTAATGGGAAACGTCTGTGAATGCAGACGAAAAAAGCGTGCAATTTTCGAAGAGATATTCTGGAAAACTTGGCTTAGTTTGAAATTGGTTTGCTTCTTCGCTGGCGAGCACTTGAATACATTATGAGACGTGCTTCTCCCGAGAAGCTTGCAAATTATGTCAATTACGGTGGGGACAACGTTTGCGAAGCGAAAATGCACAACGCAAACGCTAAACAACAAAACGAAATTATCGACTAACAAATGCGAAATGGCAACGGGGAGAAACGGGCGGAATGAGAGCGAAAAACTAAGGACAAAGTACCAGCGCCATCCGCTTGACGTTTGTAACTTTCATAAGAAATTCAACACTTCCGCTGCCAGGGAACTGCAACAGTTTCCCGGCGTGGTGCAAATTAAAAACAAAAAGCAGAAAAAATCCTAGCCAAGAAGAACGCGGAGGAAGAGGAGGAGGATCCAAGGAGGTCGCGGCAAAGAAGCTGCCGTAAATAAAGAATTACGTTTTATGTGCACTTGTGTGCGTATCTATTTGCATTCGCCATAAAACTCGGCGCCATCGAGCGGCAAACGGAGCGACATGAACAGAGCGGCATCATGAACGTCGGCCAAATGACTTCCGTTTCCGCCGCTTAAGATGGCGCGTGCATCACATCCCCACACATCCTCGCATACACGCCACACGGCGGCGGCGGCGGAGGCGGAGATATCCGCATCATCATCATTTGTTTGCCCGCTCGGCTGCCTGCTGTGTCCACTGCTGACATGTCGGCTGGCATGCTGAAAAATTGCATCGAGTATAATGTAAATCGTGTCATTTGTCAATGGCAGATGGTCGCTCTTCCTGCGGCCAACAACTCCGAGGCGGGAAGCGAAACCGCCTAATGACAATTGCCAAGCTCACGGAGCTTTTGTTTTGCACAGAGGAAAACAAAACAATTTAACCCACTGAAGATTTAAGGGCGTGTACCGCCCAGGAACTTTGACATCAACTTTTCTTGAACAATATTAGGAAATCTTTTATTCGAAGAACATTATTAAAGTACAAATTTACTGACCATTTAATTTTTTCAAGTCATTGGGACAAGAACAAAAAAATAAGTTCTTTATTTTCAAATCATTTAGAATAAATAGCGAAAAACTAAACATTTTAAGCAAATTAGCATACTTAATATAAAAACAAGAGAGAACGCTATAGTCGGGTTGTTGTCCCGACTATCTAATACCCGTCACTCAGCTAAAGGGAGTGCGAACGCTGTGTCGGGTTGGTGTCCCGACTAATAATCGTAACTCAGCTAAAGGGAGTGCGAGGGAGATAGATATATAATTTTTGATTGCGTATAACTTTTTAATGAATGGTCCGATTTGAAAAATGTCTTCTACATTTCGATAGGTATAAATATACACAACAAAATTGCATTTATACTTCTCGGAAATCTTTAAAGATGTGGGCGCAGGACCCATTTTAAAATCGTTAGTGGGCGATTGTGGGCGTTAGAGGGGGCGTGGCGCTCGGCTAAAATAAACTTGCGCTGCGTAGGAAGCCAAAGAATATGTGTGGGAAATCTCAACCTTCTAGCTTTTGTAGTTTCTGAGATCTCAGCGTTCATACAGACGGACAGACGGACAGACAGACAGACAGACAGACGGACAGACGGACATGGCTAGATCGACTCGGCTAGTGACCCTGATCAAGAATATATATACTTTATGGGGTCGGATACGCTTCCTTCTAGCTGTTACATACTTTTGCACGAATCTAGTATACCCTTTTACTCTACGAGTAACGGGTATAATAATATTGTGTGTTTCCTTTAAATCGAATCTTAAATCTAAATATGTATTAAACATGATTTATAAAACCATACTTATTTAGTGATAAATCAGAGCTGAAGATAACCATTAAGAACTGCTGACATTCTAAAAATCAAATTAAATCCTTGTATTCTTGATTATGTAAACAAGTCTCCATTTTTTCTCCTATTCCCCCGGCTAATAAATCAGTCCGAAAATTTCCGTCAAAATCAACTCCACTGCCTTTATGCTATCCCTAGAGCTGGATGCTCCATATGCCTTGTACATCGCGTTTAATGACTCTTGGCCAAAATAGTTTGCCAACAGTTTCTCCGCGCTGGCACATTAACGTGGCCAAGGCGGCAAATAATTCAATGAAGCAACTTTCGGCGAGATTAATTAAATATTTCTGTCTAATTTGACGCAATTTATGCAATGCCAGGGGGAGCGCAACTAAAGTGGGGTGCAAAAATGAGCAAAGTTTGCCCGGCAAACTTGCTTATCTATCTTGGTGAAACTTTTATTAATTACAAAGGATACACATCAGCATTAGCAGAAGTGAGCTGCGGAAGTGCCGTCACATTTGTGAATTGAGCAAGGGGCGCTTTGAGTTACTTAGCTTCCTTTACTGACTGTCTTTTTCCGTTTGTGTTTTTTTTCCATTGCAGCTGCCTGCCTTGGTGGCTTTGAATGACTGAAAGCTGGCGAGGATTAGCCGCAAGGACAGTGGTAAGTGGCCGTCGAGTCTGGCAAATTATGCAACTTAATGCGCTCGTATGCCAATGTACATAATGCATAATTAATTTGGCCCGACATGCACAACCTGTTGAGCCGCAGAAGCACTCACCTTGGTGTACTTTACTTCACTTCACCTCACCCCACTCCCCCCGCCAATCCTGTTGCCATTCCAACTGAGCCGCTGCTGCCTCATTGAAAAGTGGCATAACGAGCTCTTGTGCCCCGGCTTAAAAGCGCTTACAAATTGCTACATGAAAATGTCTGCCAGGGGCTGGGGTGGGGAAAAGTGGGAAAAGCGATGAAAATGGAAAACGTAAGGGCAGCGCAAATGAAGCTGGGCCAACGGGGAACCGGGCTGACGGGGGGTTTTCATCAACACTTCGGGGCAGTTGCAAAGGGCAAGTTGAAAACTGAAACTGCAATTGAAGCGCTTTTCCACACACACTCACCCGCACACCCGTACAAAAAACACGGCGGAGAGTGAAAAAACCTTCGGCTTTTTAATGAGTCAAGTGGCCAACACGTGAAACACTCACACTATGCAGTAAGAAAATTTTGTATTCAAGATATAATAACCATTGAGTTGGTATTTTAACAAGTATATCTTCAAAACAACATCCCAAATATTAAAATCAGACATTTCCATTGTTAAAGGGTTTTTTATCAGTATTCCAATCAAGTCAAGTTATTTAACCCAAATATGTACTTACTTATTATTTCAAGGTACAAATTATATATAATTACTTAATATTATAAAAATATTATATATTTGGAGTATTAATATAATTATTAAATATAAAAAAAGATATTGAGCGCATTTTTTTTCTGTGCACACATATCTGTGTGTAATGACGCACATTTTGACTGACTTTTGTGCGAACGTATTCGCACGAAATAAACCGTTTTGCCTTTGAGCCGAATTGACTTTCATTTGAGTTGGCCCGTTGATCCGTTCACTCGTTTTCGGGCGTCATGCCAACGCCGTTTGAGTTTTTGCCTTGCTTTTATAATTGCATGTCGACTCTTAATGAGCTGGGCGCCATGCAATTTGTACTTTCGCTGAGCAAACAGCGAAAAGCGAACAGGAGGCTAAAAGCAAAGGATTTTCCTTTTTCCTGCCACTTGAAGTTGGGTACTGCGGATGGGGTCTGCTTGTTTCGGAGTTGGCCTGCTAAGTGGGTGTGCTGCCGGGAAAAACTCTGCGAAAAATAGAACGCAGAAAGTTGGGCTCTTGTTCAAATGGATTTCGCTCGTAAGCGAAATAAAACCACAAAACTCAAAATGAAATGAGTAAATTGCGGTTGAAGTTGCCAAAAGCTTCGGCACTCCTGGCTGTTTTTTTGGAATATGTGGTTTTGGTTTTGTTCGGCCACATCTGTGGCTTTCTACACAGAAGGAATTTTTGAGATATACTTAACGAACTTGTAGCTTTAAATGGCACAACTTGATATTCAAAGCAAACTTAGTTTTTAAATAAAAATCATTTTAGTAACTAATTTTATCCTTATATAATTTTATCCAAAAAACGGTTTATACAATTTTTATTATTAATGGGACCAAGTCAAGATTATTTGCTTATCACGACTTTTAATTTAAACCCTAAAATATTTCCATATTAAGAAATATTTTGAAAAATCTTTAAATAATAAGTAGTATCCCATCTTTGTGTTTGTGTTATTTTCTGTGCATGTGAAGTGAAGCAGTAAAGTCTCGATGGCGAAACGTGTAAAAAAGCCTTTCATCGCAACCGGCCACCATAAAGATTTAACCGATAATAGGATACACAAAACGAATGTGAATTTTTCAGTTCTTAATGCCAAAACGAAGTCAGAGGCTAAACATAAGAGTCGAAAACCATAAACAATCCTGACAGGACTAAGGGGGGGAGAGAAAACTGGGGTTGGATTGCTTTAAAGCTGATGCATAAAATATTGCGTATACGCCCCATTATGCCCTCCAACAAGCACACACCAACACATGGGGCCGACGGACACGAACGGCAGACATCTAAACCATATATCGTATGTATAATTGAAAACAAATTTTACTGCATGTAATTGAGTGTGTTTGTTTGTGTGCCAGTGCTTGGAGTGTTTGTGTGTGCGTGGGTGGGCATGTCTTGATATCGATAACAAATGCCACAAATTGAATTTAAATCATATTACATACAAACAAGAAACACAGACACATAAAACAGGCCGGGCTTCAGTTTGAGTTTGAGTTTGAGTTTGGGTTTGGTTTTGGGCCAGGGACTGGGTTCTTGGCCGCGCCATCGCCATGTTCGCTTGTTTTATTTATGGCTGCAACAGCAACGATAACAAGTGCAACTGCAACAGCTATACAGAGAAAACAAATAGGTCTAAAAAGTATAATTTAGTTTTTGATTTTTGTAGATTTAGTTCCCAAAATATTTTAGAATATATAGATACTTATATTGCAGTTGTATATAAAAGCGGTAAATAAATCAAAATAAATATATGGGTATTATTCAACTTGAAATTTGTTCTCCATTAATAAAATCGCATTAAAATACAAGACATAAGAGGATGTGCTTCAGATAATATAATCTGTTTAATTAATTGAACAATAAATCTGCTTACTCGAATGCGAGATCAAAATCTGGAATTCGAATTGTGGTTTTCTCCGTGTACCACAACTGAAGTCTGAGCAACGCCTTTGGTTTTGCATTGAGCCGCATTTGAATTCGGGTTTTGAGATTTTCATTTTATGCAGTCACTGCACACGCTCAGCCGAAACAAGCCAGCCAATCTCCTCGAATATCCTTCCAGAGACTCAGACTCTCAGTCCTCTTAATTGCCTGCTCTGCAACGACATGCCATAAATTTATGCATTGCATTCCGGCAGAGGGAATACATACTCGTTGCTCTGGAATCGGCCAAGGATCTGACAATGGCACCCAAGCCGATCCCATCCGGCAGACACCACCCAGACGAAGTCCGTAAATAAATGTTTGATAAGCAGTCAATATGATTTGAAGGAGGAAAAGCAATTAAAATCGAGCGTTTAAACACAAATTAAAATACTGTCAAAATAAGAATGTGTATCACTCGATGAAGGTATTTGCCTACCCATCAATTTACCGAATAAAATTAAGTCCCTGGAGCATCTTTGGCCGATACTCGAGCTCTGAAACTGTGAAAAATCCATGCGATGTGTAAATAAGCGGCCACTTAGTTATGGGCTCAAGTCAATCCGAGACTAGAGGTGTCCATGCATGCTGGCACGACCCAATAGCTGAATTCTGAATAGAGTTGGACTTAGTCCTTCTGCTTAGAGGAACGTGTTTTCGTCTGGTTTACGAACGTGACGCATGTGCGTGCAAAAATTCAAAGGACCGAAACTCTGGGAGGTGCATTTCATATTGACGTCAACCTTTTTTCTCGGCACTTGTAACGTGCTGCAATGCTAAATACAAAGCAGACTGAGGACTCAAAAGTGTAAATACCAGGCACAAACTATAGTACAACTGCACAGAGAAAAAAGGTCGAGAAAATGTTGATGACTTTTATGTTTAACTAATGTTAGGAAATTCAACAAATATCTAATAAATAACTCACAAGAAAAAACACGCCAAAACCAAAAATGTATGTGCATGGTGAGCTTCTGGTACTCGTTTTTACAATGCAATACTGGTAAAATGGATATTAAATTATGTCATTTTGCCGATTTCTCTCTCGGAGATTTTCTGACTTCGAAAAAGCTAGAAAGAAGCAATATGGCGACTAAAGTTGCATGAGTGGGAGCAGGAATGACACATTAGAAATTCGAAATAGCGTACTTGGAACATGTTCCTTACATTTCGAACATATCAAATTAAGATGCCGCATATCGAATCATAATTAAAAATAGATAATATCAAATTGATCATCGTTTCAAATCAAATTTTTTAGGCAAAACATTACATATTTTTCATGCTAAATGTCTTCCTCTTTTTCCAAGTACCAATTTTCATATTTTTGATACCAGCTGGGCACTTGATACTAAATAAATATTAAAATACAGTATATATTGGTTTTCGATGAACGACAAACCATGCTTAATATCTGTAATTATGCAGATCAACTGAATGGCAATTTTGAACCGGAATGGCCACGTATTTTCTCTCGGTTCGTCTGGTTCAAATAAGCAGATTGCAACGGCAATCGCAGGCAATGAAGCGAGCTGGGCCCTCACCTTGTGCTCGTACCTCACGGCCTCAGACAACATCTCACTCCCAACTTGGCCCGAAACTACTTCTTGCACCATGCGCACATATATAGCCGTACATCATGTCCGGGGCATTGTTGCTGCTCCTGCACGCGCCACACGATTTTGCAAATAAATACAAATAACTTTGATTTTGTGCCCCGTCGCAGGGGCAATCCTTTGGGGGCGGGGCACGCCCACAGACAGCCCAATCCCAGTCGCAATCCCTGTCCCAATCCCCGAGCGTGTGACGTTCAACAGAAGCATTCAAATTAAACTTTATTTGCCTTCCCCCGGTACCTTTGGGCGTCTCTCGGCTTTCTGCTTAAAATTGCAGATTGCAGGCTTGATCACATTGCTTGCAAATGAACGTTGGCAAAGGAGCAGCAGGGGGAGGGAGCAGGAGCAGGAGCAGGAACAGGACCTCCAGCAGCAGCAGGAATTGGGACAGGAGCATGAGCAGGAGCAGTCAGACAAACACATGAAACGTGCTGTGCATGCAATAAAGGAGATTTTTTGTGGGATTTCCTGCACTGATACCAGCCAACGGCACAATATGCTCCATAAATTGCCTTTGGCCTCTGACTCAATACTTGTTATATACACATGCACAAGAGCAAGGATATTTCGGAAGTCACCCCAGACAATAGGTTATTCTTGTCTATGATTTAGTTTTAGAGCCTAAAAAGGGATGCCAGCGAAATGGATACGCTTCGTTTCTATACCCTCACCGAAACTAACCAAAATAATAAGCATGCGCAGAGCAATTATGCGGAATGGGTTTTAATTGCATTTGACGGTGGCTGAAACTAAGAACTTTTGTAGAACTTACATACCACCGCCATTTTACAGCTGTCTGAGGTACCTAAATTAGAGAGGAAGTGGTTCGACTGGTTTTAGGGTTATTCGGGAAAAGGAATTTAAAGTAAAGTAGTTTCCCTGCTTCGTGAACAAGCCTTTAATAAAGTTTCGTAAATTAAAAATGTTCATTCCATTAAACCCAAAAATGTTAATAATTTGTTGTCCTAATTTATGAAAATCAAAACTGTGTTTTTTTTACGCGGTTTTGATGCGGACCAACTTTTGTATTGCACATAACAACTAAAATAGTAATTAATATAATAAGTAAATATATAAATATTTTTCCAAAACAAACAAGTAACCAAATCCAGAGGATCCCATACTTAGTTCTCCAGGGTAACGGAAGCCATAAAGCGACTCTCCGCTTGGTTAGGTTATTATTATTATTGTTTGTAGTTTCGTTTTGGTGTTCCCTTTTGTTTGTAATGTGAAAATAATCCTCGTGAAAGTTTTGTTGTGCGGGAAAATCA